CTGTTGATCAGGTAGAAGAGACCCCTGATCTTAGAAAATGGGGTGTCTTGTTGCTAAGAAAGAAATGAAACTTCCATCAGGGGAAGCCTGTTGGATGTTACTGATCCATTGCTTACTGCCTGGCTTTCTCCAAACTGCTGGGGGTAGACTCATTCATTCTTTCTCTCTCTCCTTTCTCTCCCCCCCTCCCTAATGGTATGAAACCAGAGCTTGAATGTTTTACAGGGACACTCCCCTCATCTCTGTGAGAATGCACTTTGCTGCAGTATCTGGGTGAGGGACAGTGTCTTTCCCATCCTGCTCTTATGTTACCTGAAGGCCAGCAAGTGCAAAAGAAAATAAACCAGGCTCCGTGGGGAGGGCCAGAGGCGGCCAGCTGAAGTTGTCAGCTGCCTGTCTTATAGCACACAGACTCCAAGCAGCCTGCTGGGGGTGTACCAGTGCTCTTCTCACTGGGGTGTCAGGTGGCAGCCTCTGAGCCTGTGAAGCTGGGAAGTGGAAGTAGACAAGAGGCATGGCTGCAGGAGAAGAGGACTGGCCAGTCGCCAGCAGTGGGTTGTAGAGTGGGACGGGTATTCCTAGCATGGGTCCTGGGAGATGCTTGTATCTAAGGTGATATGAGAGCTTCCCCAGGGACCTAAAGCCTGTTTGCTGGGACCCTTTGACATGGGGACTCGTCCATGTTAAGAGAAAACCTGCATGCCATCCCTCAGGTGGGCAGATACTTCATTTCTCTTTAACTCAGCTGAACTCGCTTCTCAGCCTACATTTAGACTAGCAGCGGAAACAGCTTAATCTTTTTTCCATTTTTCTCCAGTTGGCCAAAAAAAAAAATTAATCTTTTTTCCGTTTCTTCTAATGGTGGAAAGAAAACGTAATCTTGCCATTTGAAGGTACCTCCATCTCTTGCATGCGCTTGAATGTTCCAAGTCCTGTCTTGATCAGTTAGGGATCTGCACAGTTTCCTGGGTTAGTGGCTTTTCTCAGAGGCGTTCTCCTCCTGCTTGTCCACTCCTAAGAGGTGGCCTGTGCATGATTGGGAACCAGCAGAAGTTCGGGGTGGCCGGCAGTAGGGATGTGCTAACACCAAGGCCTCAGATCTCTGCACACTGAGCCCTCCACACCTGCCATGGCAGCCTTTGGCCTGGCAGGGTGCTGAGCACGTCCTGCTGAGACATGAGGAGGCTTCGGGGGCTGGCTCCCTCTCTGTTCAGTTGCTCCTTCCCAGTCTCTCCAGTAAATCCAGAGCCCGGGGATACTGGCCCCTTCTAAAGTCCCAGTGAAAAGTAGAGGCCCAAGACCCCAATCCCAACCCTTGATGGAATCCAGTTAGCATTTCCATCATCCTGTCCACTCACCTTTCTCGGGACCCCTTCTCCACATCTTCTAGGACAAGCTTCTAGATCTTCCATGGTGGTGGGGCGTGGAGAGGGCAGAAGCCAGCCCCTCCCTCTCCACTGCTTGTAATAAAATACTGGAGCCTTGGAGTTCTGCAACCACTAGAGTAGGTCTCTCTCTCTCTGAAATCACACAAAAACCAAACTCACTCTGGCAGAAAAGTCAGAGAGCCTTGGCTTTCATAACATTTCACAACCGAAACGGCATTGCTCTGGAACCTGAAAGCGAAACATTGACTGCTTTGTTCATATCTGGCTTCATCTCCTCCAGTAACAGAAGCCACATTGCATTAGGGTGGCGACCCCAGACAATGAAAATGCTGCCCCCACATTAGACTATGCATCCGTCGAGAGTGATCTGGGGACCCAAGGCAGCCAGTCTGAGCCCTGTTGAGGGATGTGGGTTTGTCGAGAGGCCACACCACTCAGAATCACGTGTGGCATTGCCGGTGGTGTACAAGGTAGAGGGAGAGCTGCGTGCACACCCTCCTGTCGGCGGGTGGCTCCCATTCAGGGTCTCTGCACACAGTGGTCCCAGAAGAAATGCAGTGTCTTAGGTGATTTATTTATTTATTATGGCTGATGAAGTGTAACGGAGTGTTGGTCCTTTTTGCTGCTCTTGGAGTCTCTAAGTGAAGGATGTGGCAGTGGTCCCTGGCCTGGAATGAATGAAGTGAGAAGTGAGGGCTGTGCTTCTTTGGCTTGTTCACAGTGTGTGAGTGTGAGTGCAGCATGCACAAGTGTGTGCACATGTGGGTGACAGCTTGGGCGGTGCTCTGCTCTTTGGGTTATTACAGGTGGCTTTGAGAGTTGATTAGGGCTGGGGACTGTGCTTGGCTCCAGGACGGGGTGCTGGAACACAGACTTGTTTTGGCAGCCCTGAATGATGTCATAGATCATGTCTGAGCTGGGTCATGGCTGGGGGTCTGGAGCCTGGCATATCATTCTGGTCTGGTCGTTAGTCATAGGGCCAGTTCACTGTGAGCCCTCAAACCATGGCCGCCACCTCTTCAGTAAAGAGAATAGGGGTCCCTGGAAGGTGGGCAAGCTCTCTTCCAGCCTTGACCTTCTGTGCTCAATGAAATTCATCCCCAAACTGCCACGTGGTTTAGCACCTGCCTCCTCCTTTTCCTCCTTTGTTAAAAACTGGTAGTAGGAGAAAGGCTCAAAAGAATACTAATCATTTTATGCACCACTTTAATACAGTTTGTACACATTCATAAAATTGACTTTGATTTGTGGCTCAAACTGCCCAGTGCTCGCACACCCACCCACCCAGACACACACCATGCAACCAGCAGAAAAAGAGAAATTCTACGTTCTCAACTTTGTATTCCCCATGCCTTTGGACTCTCAGCTTCAATATCATGAGCTTGATTTAGACCTGGAAGAATGCTGGAAAGACTGTTGTCCGGTTCTCATGGCCAGGACTTCTGGTTTGAGTGTTCTAGGACTGGTCCCTGGGTGAGCACTGTTTAACTCTATAGCCTTTAGAAAGTGCTGGAACCAACCCACCATGACCTGCAGGGGATTCCACTACGGACAGCTCCTCTGGTGGGTGCCGGCTAGATGTGCCTATCTGTCCACTCACCCACCACCTGGACACCCCAAGGGCTGATCCTGTTGCAGGTGTGTGGTACCCCATCAGAGAGCATCTGGGCCTCTCACATGGGTGGCAGGATCCAGCTACTTGAGCTGTCACCTGCCACCTCCCAGGCCATTCACTAGTAGGAAGCTGGAAACTGCCAGGGCAGAACTGGGATTAGAATCCTGGGACTCCAGTGTGGAATGTGGACATCTCAAGGAGGCATCTTAACCACGGGCTAAACAGCTGCCCTTAAGCCTGCTTTTTAAAGCTGTAATCATGGTGGTCCCGTAGCTGGGGTAACCATAGCATAAAAGAAATGATGTGGTATCTTGAAGTGATCACCATTCGCAAAACAAACAAGCAAAAAAAAAAGCCCCTCATTAATCGAGAAAACTTGTATAATCTAGTCAAAATTGAAATGAGATTTTTGTGAGAGAAATTTGACGGATTGATGTTATAGTTTATCTGTTTACCTGATTTCATGAGAACAGATTTTGAAATAGAATAATGAAGAGGAGCTTACTTTCCTGATACTTTTTTTTTTTCAGGCCATATTATTTACATTGATATATTATTGAAAGGAACCCGTGGAACAAAATAGAAAATTCTAGAACACATCCATGTACCTATGATAATTAAATACATGATACAGATAAAGGTAGCATTTGAAATCAGTGGCGAGGTGGATTATTTTATAAATTATGTTGTCTTAACTACTTAAGCATGATAAACATAATAAATTCTTCCCTCTTGTTGCCAAAATCCAAATTAAAATTTCTGTCATGCTAAAAATCACATAAAAATGCTATAATAAAGTTTAGTAGAATACTCATAAATGACAGTGGAAGAAAACCCATGTAGAAAAAACTGTGACTTCTTTTATTGTTTGAAATTTCTGCATTTGTAAACAAACAAACAAAACAAAACAAAAACAGCTTGTATTCCACCCCAAAACCGGAAAACCAGAGATTGTAGTGAAAAGGGCTTCCTTGAGGTTTCCAGAAACACAATGATAGAAAAGTAGTTGACAATAGGTGTCCAAGACTTGGAAAAGTTCGTATCTGTGACCGTCTTGGAAATGTATCCTTCACAGTGAGTTGTGCAGTTACAGATTACACATGAATCAATTATGTTTTCAAAAGAGTGGCCCATGAAATCCAAGAGGAAATGAGAGAGAGAGAGAGAGAAATGATGGAGGGGAAAGGGTGGGAAGCAGACAAAGAAGGGAGGGCCTTAAATGCCCACAACAGGTGTTTGAAGAGATGATATCGGTTGGTGGAGTTGGCTGTGTTTGATATCTAAAGTTCTCTGGGAAGATATAAGGGTGTGTTCCAGAAGATTCTGCAATGAAAGCAACCATAGGAATCTGTTCACCAAATATGGCATCTGAATGCTTTGCTTCCCATTGGTTACTTCTGAATTCATGGCAAGGGACTTATCTCAATGTATATGCATGTGTATATATACACACATATATGTTTATTTATAGTTATTTATATATATAGTTAGTTATAATTACCATATTTCAATTTTGAAAAAAATTGTTTTCCATGATCTGAGGCCCCCAGGCTTGGTGCCTTGGGTACCCCAAAGCATTGAGTTGGTCCATGAATGTTCTCCTGGGTCCTGTCTCCTGTCTGTGGCCTGCTGAATGGCAGCTCCAGGTTATCAGCCACCGGAAGAGCTTCGTCTTTGGCCTGTTTCTCAGGCATTATAGTCACAAAGGAACTAAGGCCTGAGGGCCATGGTCATGTCATGTCTTCTTGTACTGCATGTATAGTGGGTGGGGGAAGGCAGAGGGAGGGGGCCTGGGGCTTGGATTGGCTGCCTGGGACAAGTGACAAGACAGATGCTATTCCCCCTTAGTGGTCAACCCCTGGTCAGCTGCCTGGTGGTCAACTGCCTGGTGGTCTCTCCCGATTCCTCCTCTTCCTTCCCCTCCCTCCTTCCTTGCCCCCACTGCCGTGAGTTCATCGCCCTAACCTGTGCTTTTTGTCTTCATGTCATGTGGACAGGTTCTAACGCTTCCATGGACCAGCCGTGCTGTCGTGGTCTCTATGACTTTGAGCCAGAAAACCAAGGAGAATTAGGATTTAAAGAAGGGGACATCATTACGTTAACCAATCAGATAGACGAAAACTGGTATGAAGGAATGATTCGTGGGGAGTCGGGATTCTTCCCCATTAATTATGTCGAAGTGATTGTGCCTTTACCTCAGTGAGTGTGCCCCGTGCCTGCGGACGACCTCTCAGAACTGTCACGAATACAGTGTTCTCCCCGTGTGCCGCTCTGTGACCTGCTTGCGCCTCACTTCTCTACACGTGTTCTCTTTCTCATATATTTTGTACCATTTTGGTTTGTATAAATGTTTTTCTTCTTGTTCTAGCTCCCCCACCCCCCCTTTTTTTTTTTTTTGGCTTCTTGTCCTGCAAGTCATGGATTAAATATCTGTGCTTCTTGTTGCTGCAAGCAAATGGGCCCCAGCAGCGCCACCTCAGCCACCTGCCCTTGCCCCTCAGCTGTGGCAGAAGGCAATGTTTGAACCCGAGAAATGCTCCAGTGTCTTTGTTTCTTGACCTTACTGATGGTGGATGGTCCTTTCCCTTCATCTTGTTTGCAGCCAACCTGTGAATAGCCTAATAAACATGACGCACTGTGCTGCCCAGAGACCTCGGTTCTTTTTAGCGTTGAAGTGTTTTGTCAGTGATCTTCCAAATCACTACTTCCCCCAATGGCCTTGGGGTTGTGGCGGCCATTGGTGACTCCCAGATGATGGTTCCTGACCTACATGGGCAGGCCCTGGAATGAATCTCCCTTTCCACCTAACTTAGACATATCCTCCTTCCATCTGTTTTCAAGGTCATTTGTAAAAGACCCCAGTTCCACAAGCTGCATTAGCTGCTACATCTTGGGGTGGTTGTTTTTCAGGATGAATGAAAAACCTGATATGGATACTTGGGAGCGGTCATGGATGGGGGCGGGGATGGGTTGATTGCCCAATAATATGATCACCTGGGCTCTGAACGAGGACCTGGCTTTGACCCCGTGTGTACTTGCTTGTTCCTCTGGGATCCACATGGTCCTGCTAAAGGGACAGGCAGGCCTGAGAGTCCTTGAAAGGTTGACCTAGGATCCAAGAGCCACGTGCAGTTGGAATTCATATTGTGTATTACACTGTTCACAGAGGTGCTCTCCAAAGTCACTTGGAAAGTTGCAGCTGTTCACTGATATTTGTCACACCTTTGCCCAGGGGCCAAATGGTTTCTGTCAACCTCGTTTCCAAATGAGACCATGGTGTATTGGTAAATTGACAATGATATGCTTTTCCACAAGACACAAACGTACACGCATGACATATGCACACACATACATGAACATTTACATAGAGCAAATATTCGCATATGCATACATATGTGAACATATACACATGTACGCACGTGCATGTATGTCTTTCAAATGCACAAGCTTCAGTCTTCCAGACAACTACTCCCTGCAGAGCCACAGACTAGCCCTTAGCCTCCTGCTGCCACATTGGAAATTAACCAAAGGTAGGGCCGACATGGTGGTATAGCAAGTAAAGTCGCTGCCTGCATGGTGACATCCTGTGTGGAAACTGCCTCATGTCCTGGCTGCTCCACTTATGATCCAGATGTCTCCTATGAGCCCTAGGAAAAATAGTGCAAGATGGTCTGGCCCAAGTGTTTGGACCCTTTGCTACCCATGAGGGAGATGTGACTTCAGCCTGACCCAACACTGCCTCTGGGTAGAGGAATGAATGGAACACCTCTGCTTCCCCCCACCCTGCCCTGCCCATCTTCCACTCTATAACTTTGAAAATAAATAAATCTGTAAAAAGAAACTTACCAAAGGTAATGAGAGATCAAGGACCACTCAGTGCCTTGCCACCCTGTTAAAGGAAACAATTGTTGAAGTTAATTGGGAATGATAGTTTAGTGAAGTCTAAAGTTGAGGAAAAGGTTTAGTATAAATTTTATATTTAATGCTTGGGTGACAAAACCACTGGATATTTCTAACTCATTGGATATTTATAATATCATTTGTGGGCCAAAAAATTATTAAGGTAGAAATTGAACTGCTCAGGCTGGAACTGTGCCATCTCTGATGCCAGCATTTCTTGTGGGTGTCAGTTCATGTCCCAGTTACTCCACTTCCTATCCAGCTCCTTGCTGATGGCCTGGGAAAGCAGCACTGAGTGATCCCGAGTCCCTGGGCCTCTGTTCCTCACGTGGGAGACTGGCAGAAGCTCCTGACTCCTGGCTTTGAATTGGCCCAGACCTGGCTATTGTAGCCATTTGGGAAGTGAACCACTGAATGGAAAATCTCTGTCTCTCTTTCTCTCTCTCTCTCTAGCTCTATATCTCCAACAAAAATAAATAAAATATGTAAAAACAATAACCTTCTCCAGGTTCACTGAATTTCGAGTCATTTCTGCAGTTGCCCTGGCATGGCCAGACCAAATTATTTCACAGGCTTTATATGCCCCATAGCCCGGATGGTCCCTACCCCTGCTAGAGGAATTGAAATGAGTTTGGAGGATTGTGACCAGACAGCACATTACAGCACAGTGCAGTTCCTGTGCTGGTCGCTGGCTAGTGGGCCTAGCTGTCCTGTAGGGTCCCCATCTCCACCCAGAGACTCATGAACGAATCTGATGAGTTACCACGGAACAACAGCCACTTGGCCTTTCCTTGATGCAGTTCTTTCAAGTCCACTGCCTGCTCCCTTCCTCTGGCCATTAGGGCTGCTGCTGAATCTGCCTTCACTGGGACCACTCACCAGCCTACAGGGGACGTTGCTCCATTACCACCCCCAAACCTCCTGGAAAATGCAGATGATTGCTGCTTCCTCTGCCCATGCTGCTTCCTGTTGGAAGGTTTCCAAAGCAAATGCTTTCAGATTCTGCTTCTCCAGGAAGCAACAGCCTTGACAGCCAGAGCAGAGGAGGTACCTGGAGGAGGTAGTAGGCTTGAAAGAACTGCTAAGGAGTTGTTAAGGTTGTGGATGCAGGCTGGGTGGCTCTTCATGTCACCCACAGGGAGGGCAGGGAAAACTGACTGTTGACTGGGATGACCCAGCTCTGCTTCACACCTCTCGCCCTCCAGCACGCTAGCCCAGGCATGTTCTCATGAAGAAGACACAGCTGTGAGGATGTGCCTGCATGGAAAGGTGCAACAATGTTTTTAAGTCTCTGTTGACCTCCATCTGTTACCATCCAACTAAACAAGTCACAACGGTCTGGCACAATGGCTCAGTGGCTAATCCTCTGCCTGAAAATGCTGGTGTCCCTTATGGATGCCGCTTCATGTCCTGGCTATGGCACTTCCAATCCACTTCCCTGCTAACGATCTGGGAAACCAGCAGAGGATGGTCCAAAGCCTTGGGATCTTGCACCCCTGTGAGAGACACTTCTGATTCCTGGCTTCAGATCAGCTCAGCTCCGACCATTATGGGGAGTGAACCAGAAGATGGAAAATCTTTCGGTCTCTCCTTCTCTCTATAAATATGCCTTTCCAATGGAAATAAATCTTTTTTTTTAAGTCACAAGGCTTAGGAAGAGTGTCCAACAACATACGGTAAAGGATGAAGTCGGATGGCTCCTGCCATAGAACTAAATATTCACAGACACATTGATGAGGTCTCAGGCATGTTCAACCATCTGACTGCTGCTTTTTGAGGCTCCTGGGTCTTCTCCCAGGGATGTGTGCCAGATGTGTTCAGTCGTTGGTGTCACTCAGCTTAGATTCAGAATCACAGCCTTATCTGCTTCCCCCTCATTCCTCTTTTGGTTTTGCTCTTGAGTCAAATAGAGTCCCAGACGATTCACTAGAGTTTTCCTTAGAAGAGAATGCTAACCATGGGCATGGATGTGACTCCAGTAAATAAAAATATTTTGTTTAAATATCTACCCTACTCCTTCACTGCTGGGGCATGGAACAAGATAGAGACACGATGAATGGACACATCTGGAACTTACAGTAAGTCTTAGCCTGTATTTCCATTCTAGTTTTACGTAACATTCCTGTTTTTATTGAGTTTAAGTATTTGTTGTGAAAGATGATGCCACTTTCAGTTTTTTCCTTTTCTTGGAACTCTGTTAGAAACAACCCTCTTGCATTTCCCATGAGCTCCACTCTAGAGCAGAAGTGACCAGGACACAGCTTGTCTGCAGACAGCCTGTGTTCTGAAACATTCTTCTTTGGCATGACATGAAGTTAATGACAACAGCCTGTTCTGTGGGTGAGGGCAGGGGGTGGCTTGGGACTGTCTTTGGTCTGGTAGATCTTTCTGATTCTAGGATTTAGATTAAGAACATACTCTGGCTTGTAGGCTCTGAGCCAGTTCTGGCTTCTCCAGTGGTACCGTTAAGTTCCTGGTTTCCACATACTGGAACCTGGCGTGTTTGTGCAGAAATTTTGAGAACACAATTGGAGAACTCTCGGGCAGTGTCTGGGAGAGGCTTGCAGAGGTCCCAGGACATGCATCTGGACTTCCACCTGCAACCCTGGGGTCTCTGTTCTTGATATTCTGTCAAGGCTTGCTGGGGAATAACTTCTGTGTTCAACTGGTAGACATTGCTCAAGTCGGATGGTTTTCCCTACCTCAGTTGTGTTTTGTCAGTTAGGTATTTCCATCGTTAGGGTTGTTTGATAAGCCTTGATTTTTACCCAGATCCAAACACAGACGTATCAGGACCTTTTGTACCAACAATCTCTCCTCAGCTGTACTCCCCACGCATTATCAGATCCAAATAACAATTTAATCTATAGAAATGAGGTGGGCTGCAATGAGTGCTTCTGTGTGGCAGGTTAACCCCATGATGGAGTTCCTGAGAGCGAGTCTTCCCTCTCATTCTGACCCATCTTCCTCATAATGCACTTGGCAGGCAGCAAATGACTACTCGTACTTGCGGTCTTTCCACCCACCTGAGGGGCTCGGATGGAGTTCCTGGCTCTGGACTTTGACCTAGCCCACCCCTGGCTGCTGTAAGCATTTGGAAAGTGAACTAGTCAATGAAATATTTCTTCTCTCTCATAGTTCCTTCTCCCTCTCTGTTGTCACTCTGCATCTCAAATATAGGTAAATATTTCTTCCTTTTGCTTTTTTTTTTAGAAATTTATTTTTATCACAAAGTCAGATATACAGAGAGGAGGAGAGACAGAGAAGAAGATCTTCCATCCAATGATTCATCCCCCAAGTGAGCATAACGGCTGGTGCTGTGCCGGTCCGAAGCCGGAAACCAGGAACCTCCTCCAGGTCTGCAGGGTCCCAAGGCTTTGGCCCGTCATCGACTGCTTTCTCAGGCTGCAAGCAGGGAGCTGGATGGAAAGTGGAGCTGTTGGGATTAGAACCGCGCCCATATGGGATCCCGGCGTGTTCAAGGTGAGGACTTTAGCCACTAGGTCCCCCTTCTGCTTTTTTAAAATATAAAACAAGTCTTAATAAAATATCAAATTCTCTTCTATGTCTTTACAAGCCACTTGCCAAAGACAATTACTTTCTTTAGTCAGTCTTCAGTAGCTATTCAACCCCATCTTCTAACTCCATCACGCTGATGTTAACGATGATTTTTTTTCCCCAATACAAAGCCTCTCAATTGTGCACTGCCACACATTTCTATATAAATCTCCAAATGAATC